ATATGAATGCTAAGACAGGTGAAAATGCAAATGAGTTAATTGTTTTTAAGTAGGTATTTGTTGCTGTGCCTGCATTTAGACAATAGCTCGGTTCTTTTGTTTAGTGTTGACTGTTTGTCTGAATATATTATGTGAAGTTTCTCGGTTATGCACAGGTTGCAGCGTTTTGTTTTTGGGGAGTAGGCCGATGCTCTGTCGATGATAGACCATTTAAAGTTGTAGGGTGTGTTGCTATCTTTTAATTTCCATACGTATTTGGAGAGTATGGTGCTGTTTCTGTGTTTGGGGGTGTTAAAAGTATATTTGTGGTTTGTGTATCGGGTTTTGAACGGTGTGTCAGTGAGCCCGATGTAGCATTTTTTGTCATCATTTGAGTAGACAGTGGCTTTGTAGATGATGGATGAGGTGAGGCAATTTCCAGAGAGTGGACATTCATATTTTTTCCTGCAATTGCAGAGAGTTTTTGGCTGTTGTTGCTTAGCAACCAGAAGCTGTTTGTTGTGGGCTTTGATTACACTGCCCATGTTTCTTGAGCAGCTATAGCTGACTTTAACATTGTTCTTGTTAAAGAGCTTATGTAAAATGTTGCCACTCGGGAAATGCTTTTTGACCAGGTTAAGGAATGATTTTCCGATGTTGGTTTTCACTCCTTTGCTGAATAATCTGGTACAACCCACCATTCAGCAAAAGTAAAAGTAAAATATCAGCTTACCCATTACAATTATTTTAATCGACTTTGTTGTCAATCCAATACTATTAGTAACAGTAAGTGTTATTGTGAACACTGTGACACTACCATCTGGATCATTGAATGTGAACGTTGCTGGGTTAGTGTCTGTATTTTCAATTCCCGGATGATTTGTGGTCCATTGATAAGTGACATCACTAGGATTTGCTGAGACTTCAAGTTCAATAACATACTGTTCTTCATGACCAACAGTGACTTCATCTGCTGAATCAAATTCAGGTATATCTGAGAACGGAACCAGACTCATTCATGGTAATAACTTGCAAGTTATGTGAAACATGACAAAGAGGCAATCAAATCATAAAATTGGTAAATACCAATCAATTTATTGTCAGTCAAGTCACATATGGCATCCCAATCCTTTCGTTCCATCAAAACAATAGTTCGCTCCCTCAAAATATAATTTCGTTCCCTCGAAATATTATTTCGTTCCCTTGATATCATTTAATATTTTTTTCAACAATATCGCTTTACGGGTTCCGCACAATCTACACTTAAACAATAATCACGGCCTTGTGAAAGCTTTAGAATTTATTATTAATTGGTAAATTCCATTTGATAATACATTGAGAAAGCTTTGCATTGGGGATAAAACCTGAAAACCCAGTTTTATGTAGAGAATATAGAGGATTGTCATTATGCAATAATTAATTCAAACAAATATAAGCAGGTTGACCCCAGCAGATCATTACACAAAATATTATTTTTTAAAAAAACTACAAAGATAATATAAATAGAAATAAAATAAAAATATTGTTGAGACACTTACCATGAACGTCCAATCGCTGGACTTGAGATGTATCACTACCAACTATGTTACTTGCTTCACATTTGTAGTTCCCCCTGTCACTCCTCACCACATTACCAATGTTATATGTTAGATTTGTTGTTGTTTCTCTGCTAATTGGAGTCTCATCTTTGTATAAATTGACTACTGGATCAGGTTTAGAATTTACTGAACATACAAACGTTATAGGTTCACCTTCAACAACAGTATTGATACTAATGTCAAATATTAAATCGAAAGCTGAAAGACAAAAAATATTGTTTTAAAAATATTTTTTTAACCAATCAATCCATATTAATTGTGCTGACTAAATGGAAACTGGCAATATCATATGTAATAGTTTTTTTTTTTGTATTTGTTGTTAGAGAATACAGTCGATTTTAATACAAGACAGGAATCAATAATAGAGTCGCTATGTTAAACCAATTTTTGGTTTATATAATTTCATCACATACTTCTTTATATTGTTTTTTTAATTTATCTTTTCTATTTATCTTATCTCTTTCCTTTCAAATGCCTAATATGTTGGACGTACCTCAATGAATGATATCTGTTTCTACGTGAGAGTATCAAGAATTAGAGTCGTTCTTGTATTCATCCCATTCAATTCACATGAACTTCAGTAATAACATTTGGGAATGAGTATTTTCAATTCAATTCAATTCAATTAACATTTATTCAATTAATTAATCAATACATAAATTGATAAAGAAAGTGGACATTAAAATAATTAATTAGGATAAAAAATAGAAGCAAAGCCTGACTCCCCGACAAGGCAGAAAGTAAAAAACTAATAATAAATGCATATCAAGTATATATACATTTATATACATATATAT